TGTGTGTGTGTGTGTGTGTGTGGGCATCCCTGCTCCCCATCCTGAAGTGGAGCTCCATGCTCACTATGGAGAAAGGACCTCAGTGAATAGGTCCCCACTCAGGAGGAATAAAGGAACCCCTCCACTGGTTTGTTTTGGAAGCTGTCTTATTGATCTGTCTACCTATGAATGAATGCATTGGCCCAGTTTTTCCTGCTTGTGTAGACAATGCCACTCAAGGCCTGTGTTAATGTTATTCCCAGAGAATGGTGTGCATTAAGAGGAGTTTGGGAGCATTTGTAATTTCATCCCTCTATCTACCCCACTAACCTTTCCCCACAAAGAATGGAGGTGGAAAGCAAATGAAGAAAAGCGAATCGATGGCCATTGACTGCCTAAATCAATATCAGTTTGCACGAGGACATTTGCCATAAGTAGAATGATGCTGAGACACAATCAGTGATATCGAGCAGTATCATACAAACACTATTTAATCTGATAAAATTGACACAATTTAAAATTTCATTTTTACCTTGATGACCCAGAGAGGAGCCACTGTGAACACAGAGAAAGGCGCATTAGAAAGAGGACCTTACGTGTCTGTAGTCTTCAGAATAAAGCAGCGTGGCTTCAGAAGGGGACATCTGTGTGGAACTATTTTGAGTCCATCATGTGTATGAAGCTGGGCATATGATCATTGCATCCAAGTACATCAAGCATGAATTCCATGGCGTTATAAAAAACAGTAGCTCTGCAGTAAAAGCCAAAAGTATATATAGCACAACTGTTGTAAAACAAGAGAACAATTTAGCAATGCTTTGATTTAAAGGGACAGGGTGTGGGCCAGGATATAACCAAACTTTATTAGGAATACTCATGATCTGTCATTTTGGTATTTTGTTGACAACATTCATTAACGTTAATATGGATTATTTAAATATTCACTCTGGAACAATTACCAGAATTAAGTGACAGTGGCAAATGAATAAATGTGATTACTTCTACTTCTTAGGGTCGGTAAGTCGCCTGCCAACAGCTTTTAACTAATTTGTTGAAATCCTCTTGACGTCCCAATAGCCATTGATAAATACATTTATATGAAAGAAAAAAAGCTGCAGTGCATTCCTCACAGGACTTTAATAAACAAAGCCAATCATTTCATTCTGGCAAATTCAGACTGAAGATTCACTGTCATACCCATCAGCCACTAACCAACCTGCCAGCCCGCCCGCACCCTGCCTGAACTCACTGCATATGACAGGAGAGGTACAGATCGCTGGTTGTCAGGCAGTTAACTTTCGTATTTTGAGGGTGTAGCTTTGACGGGAATGACGATGGGAGGGGTGGGATGTATCGGTTGCATATTTTTAAAGTGTAGCCTGCTCTTGTAAATTTTTCCAGGATTACCAACCCCAGCTTTAAGCTGACTAAACCATGAGCTCTTCTTTCAACTGTAAACCAAAAGCTTAGGGATTCTTTGAGTTTAGGAGTGCCAGTCGCATCCAAGGGTTCATGAATGGATCTCCCTGTTGCTCTTATATATAACCAATAGAGCACAAGGATAAAATAAAAAGGACATAGTAAAGAACATAATTTATTTAAGACAAAATCTAAAGCAGAAATAAATACACGGAAGAACATGTGTGATGTACTCTAAGAACCCAAGAGTGAATAACAACACTTTCAGAGGTAACAAACTGAAGAAACGTCTCAGTTTCTCCAGGTACTTCTTACCGGACCAGACGAGACATTAAAAAAAAACCGTAACGGATTTGTCAAACACATTTTCAAAAACCGATTTAATCCAACATGCACTCCAATAACAAAATAAAGTGAATATTGTTAAAATTAGAAATGTTTACAGGCCTCAACATGTGGAATAAATACAAAAAAACCAAACAAAGGACAAGTCAATCAATAAAAAGTCATTAGGATAAATTAGATTTAGTTTGACAGGTAGAATTATGAGAGGGTACAATGGAGAAGGAGGGAAGTGCAGGTAAGGGGGGGCTATTAAATCAACTCAACATACAAATCATTTTCATCAAAACAATCTAGAAATTAGGCAAGATTGATACATTCATTATGTGCATATTCCCTATCGTTTCACACAGACAAACTGAGGCTAAGACTTTCGGCATCAGGAGCTTAAAAGTGTGATATGGTGCGGCTCTGCTTCATAAAACGTGTTCTGTACAAAATGCATAGAGCTGGAATGTGTGAACTGCAGCTCTATGATGACTGTAACGATGAAACGAAATTTGCCAGAGAACCACGCAAATGTAATTAATCTGAACGCACGTACCCTACATTCCTGAATAGACCGGACAATCATAATGGCCCAGTGCGGCGTCTGCACAGTGACTCCATGTGCTTGCACCTATAACCTTTAAATAAAAACAGAGTCTTTGCACGCTGTAACTAAGCAGAAGTAGTGATTCCCTCTTTTTCAAGTTAGCTCTCTAAACAACAGAAGTCAAACACCAGCAGACACCACATTGGGACAGGGGGGGGACCAACATACTTGGCACCATTTTAAAATCAAAACTTATACAAATCCACAATTTGATCAATTAGAAATAGAATAAAACCTAAAAATGATTGTTTTCAAAATAGTTTAAAAGCAATAGATGGGTTTAAGTAAAAAAGAAAAAAGAAAAAATACAGGAAATGAGAACTTAAAAGGCGGTAGCTTATCAACAGTAGTTGACATTATTTCTACTCGATCGCAATGCCCTTTGAGATTACAGCTGATCGAAGGCAAAGATCCGACACATGCAGACAGATGTTGCATGCTGCTTTCTGTCAGAAGAACAACCTCAGATTCTCTCATAGCGTTCAAACGGCTCAGTTAAGACCAGGGTGGTCACAATACAAAACATCACAAATCAAAAATTTGTCCTTGATGGCAACTTCAATTAGACACATTTAAAACACATTAGATTCAAGTCAATAAGATGTTTACCCAGGAGATCAACACCTCGTGGAACTCTCAGTTGTCCACACTCAAAGCTCCTGGTCAGGTGACGGCTCATCCCATCCAACCCTCCCTCCTCTGACGATAAACACAAACGCTCCGGCAAAACTTTTAAGACTCTTTCAAATTGCTCTGTGGTCCGTGGCAATGGAATTCTGACATCTGAATTGAAAAAGTTATTCAGTTTCAACTAAAATATTTTTTATAGGTTTTTCTCAAAAGACAAACACGAGGCCCCAGAATGGCAGTTAACAGTCTCCCCTAAAAAAACTTAAGGAAAACATATAATTAAAGGTGATTTCAGGTGAATAAGAAGTCACACACCAGCCTCCACAAACCTCTCCAGATTCTATGATATTCTGTGAGCTACGCATCCTCACAACGCTTTCACTGACGGAAACTAGCACTCGGATGGGCTGTGATACAGACTGGTTTATAGGTGGTTCCATGACTCTAAATGTCAAGGTGGTGCGCATAAGCACCAGCCAATAAAACTTAAACCTTACAGCATTTATCCAGTCAAGCAGAGTAACTCCGCCTTTTCCTGGATATGTCTGTGATATAAGTCATTGCCAGTAAATTTACAAGGGGACAACAGGCTGAAATCGAACTGTTACTGTCATGCATGAACCTGTAAGAGTAGGTTTTCGAAAGTAAAAGACATGTTGAATCTTAAAGTGTCAATGGATCAGTAATGGATTGTAATTGGCATCTGAGATAAAAAGTATTATACCTCATATCATTCAAATTTCATACACAAAATCAGTTTCTCTTGACGATACCAAAACACCACTGACACGTAATAATATTCTTCTAACTCGTACTTTAGTCGGTCTGTTATTAAAGTTTATAAATCTTGCTCTTCAAATTAAACGCTGTGATTGTAGTATTAAAAACAATGACGAGTTCATAAAGTCATCTGTGAAGGAAGCACTGGGAGTTGAACCAGGAGCTCTGATGATATGGTCAGTCTTTGAGAGGTGGTCAAAGGGAGGGAGGGATGGAGGAAGGGAGAAAGTTGACGAGCAGAGTAATCAATCGGCCTCTGCTGCCCCCAATCAGTCCTTTCTGATCAAGCTGAACGTTCAGTAGCACTGCTGGGGTCCAGCTGCCACTGCTGGGTTCCTGATGCTATGCCGCCATAAGATACTGATGGTAGAAGAGACCAAAGAGGGAGGTGGAGAAGAGGCAGGCAGCGATCCACCAAGTAAAGAAGGAGAAGAGGCCCCGAAAAAGCGAGGGGCTGAAAACAGTCCGCAGGCCTCCCAGGGCCACTGACAGCTGGGCTACTGACGCCCGGGCTCCTGTTTCTACCACTGAAGCTGGAGTTGGGGCTGCTACTGATGCCTCCCCCATCACTGAGTCAGAGTTCATTTCATAGGTGCAAGGCAGGTCTTCTTCAAGATAGACCCACCAGGAGTGTCCACCTGCCATAGAGCGAGCAAAGGAAGAAAGATCAAACTTCTGGGAAGAAAAATATGTTTTTTTTAAGAGGAAAATCACTGTGGGGTGCATGACTCACCTAAAGTTTTTAGCAGCAAAGTGGTATGCAGCAGTATCACCAGTGGTGCCACATATTGTAGTGCGATTACACACAAGTAGTAAAAAACACGCGCAACCTGAGTGAAAAAGGTGGAAGTAGTGAAAAGAATAAGAACATTAGTTCAGGCTTTGACACAAACTGTTTTTAAAAAGCATCCTGCAAGAAATTAAGGGTTTAACACAAAACACTTGAAGCTGATATAAATTTCAAATATCAGTTGCATGAGATGATGACAGCAATGAAATCATTTCAGCTAAATAGTTTTGATAAAACTCCAAAACATGATTAAATGTGATATTAAACATGAGCACAGATGATTCTTTGCATGTTTTTCTTTTAAAACCAGTCTGTTATATTCATTACAACACTACCACCAGAGAGTTGTAACATAGGAGAGGCTGGTCTGCACAACACTGAACTTGTTTACACGTTTACACTAACATCATAGTTTCTGTGGGTTTCAATAAGTCAAATTAAAGACTATTTCAGACCATAATGAATTGAATTTAAGACCTTTGTCAAGTATGACAGAAACAAAGGAATATCAGAGTCCCAGAATTATTTACACTTGCCCATAATTAAGATAAAGTGAAGTAGCAAAGTGGAGGATAAACCTCAAAAGGCCATGTTATCTATCAAAACTACAGATAGAGACATTAGGTATCCATAGCCTTTCCCACAGAAAAGCTGAGTAAATGGTAAATGGTTGGTATATATATTATATAGTTTTGATGACCACTCAAAGCACTTTACACTACAGTTTGCCACTCACCCATCACACACACATTCATTCAGTGCATCTATTAGCAGCACTTTTTTTTTTTCTATAAGGGCAAATTAGTGGTTCAACATTTTGCCCACGGACACTTCGGCATGCAGATGTGGAAGACTGAAATTGAACTGCCGGCCTTCTGGTTGGAGGAAGACCACTTTACCTCTCAGAGTGTATAGAGATAAACTCTATCTGGGGCTTCTGTAGAGAGTTATTAGTTCCATGGTCTTGTTTATAGTTTTATTACACATTATCAATATCTGTATTGTTGACAAGGAACTAAAATAAATAGACATTCCCAACTATGCATGCCATACTAAGTAGTATTTAATGAATATAAAAGTATTATTTTAATATATTTAATTAAATCTTTTTAAGACCACGTTTAACCCTGATTGTTGGGGGGGCTTTGAAATGAAATGATTGAAGTTGATGTGATTGGCCACAACTGATGCAAGTGTTAAATACAATTACTGCAAACACCAATTTCCAACTGCACAAAAGTACAGTAATGGTTTTTTTTGTAATTAATGTGGTTGTATATGCTATTAATAAAGAGAAAAGCCTTCTGCAAAACAAGCTACGTGGCTCCGATTAAGAGGAATATAGATCACCACAATGTAAGTTAAAAGAGATTATTTATATGTTTTATCATTTTTTTACAGAATTACAGTGGGGTCAAATCATGATTAGTATTATTTAAAATCATCTGACTCACCATCTTCTGCAAGTCAACGGTACTTATGCGACCCGCCTCCTTCTTCATCTGGTCCACACCCTTCTGGGCCAGGTTGAGGTAGGCCTGCAAATGATGTCTCATCATAGCGAGCCGGAGTAGACACATCAGTATGATGGCCCATAAGCGCAGCGTATCATACGTCTGCTCAGTCATCCTGGTAGTAATAAGAAAGACAAGAGTGAGAGAGAGATGATAAATGGATGACGGCTTTGCTGGCCCGCTAACTCAACCCATCATGTATCTGCTACATCAATTGGATGGTAGACAGAGACAATGAGACAGAAAGGAAAGTAAAAAAAGAGTCATAAACAACTCAAGACGAAGAAGTAAGAGAGGGTGAAATTGAAAGATAAAAAGGTGAAAAGGGGGGTAAGGTAACATGAAAGCAAACTTAGTTAAGTTTGACCTTGAAGCCATCACAGCAGCAGGAGAAAGTTTGACATGTGTTCAAACGTATGCAACAAATGAAAGATGCTTATCTTAGTTTGAATAACAAGCTGACAAATGACAGCAGTTAGAGATGGAATAAAGAGCTTTCCCTCGGGTATGACTTAATATGTGTACAGTCTAATTTAAACCTAAGAAGACAACTTTCATATTGTGGTAATTTACTGCATCACATTCCTTATCTCATCCAACCTTCATAAATTCAATTTTGATAACTGCTGTTGCATTGTTTACACCCATTTTCCAGCCACAATTACTTTTATTTTCACAGCTTGGCAGCGTTGTCCCAACCCTCTTGTTTGAGTGGCAGGTTATTAGCTTGCTAGGCATCAACAGAGTCCGACTGGCTGCCAACCAAATACAGATCAATCTAATGGAGGTACGAGGATATGGATCTTTAACAGATTCTTGTTTTCGTGAAATGTTTATGCATTTTAATACATGTGCTACAAAACAGTTGACCTCTGTCGGATCTCAATCAGGTGAACTATATAAGATGGATAACTTAAATTATTATTATACTGGAATTGCATGAAACATATAATTACTTACAAAGGCACACTCTCCTTTCCCAGAGTGGGGTTCATTATGTAGTCCTTAGTGATGGGCTTCACCCACAGCAGGACCATGATAAGAGGGGACAGGAAGTTGATATGAAGCAGAGTCCTGCAGAAATGGAGATGTAACAGAAAAAACATCAATTATAATGTTAGGTGATCAAATAATCCAACAACTTTTACTCTTTTTCTCTCACAATCATCGATAAACTAATGAGTAAAAAAGTTGGTAGCTCTTTGTAACCTTTGCTTTTTAATCTCAATTTGGAGTTAACGTGGAGGGCAAAATGGTCCATATTATCAATACGACTGTCCCTGAGAGGGGTGAGAAGATAAATAAGGTGCAGATTTTGTAGGGCTTGGAGATAATCCCTGCTGGTGACAGGGTCTGAGGATGTAAGCTTGTGTCAGCTAAGATGGGGAATGGAGGAGGAAGAGGAGGCCAGAAGAGAAGAGAGTCTGCTATGCCAAAGTGGATTATCTGGATGCAATGTGCTCCCTGCTCTGCACCCCCTATCATGGTTGGAGACATGCCACCCAGTGAGTTCTGAAACAGGAATCTGCCCCAACTGAGGAAGTCTTCATCTGACTCACAGGGTGCTCTCTGGTATCTGACACACTCTGAATAGTGGGAGACAAGTACAACGGTGCTATACTTGGATTTATGGTACTCTAAAGTAGGATAGACTGATATTTGAGAAGTGTTTTTGTGGCCAAATTGAGCACATCATAACCATAGAACTGGGAGACCACACCGGATAATATTCTTTCTCCTAGTTCTGATCTTACGGTCTATTCTATTCATTTTATAATGTTTTATTTTATCTTGATTTTACTTTTTTCTCATCTGTAACATTTCTCCATATCTGTATCTATGTTTTATGCTGTGTGATCTTCAAGTTGCATTTAAATGTTTTCTCATTTGCTTTCTAACTACTCAATCATTTGTGAAAAACTAAAAGTTACACACTGAAGATAACGTTGTCAACAAAATGCGGGATGTGAAACATTTGCAACCGGAAACTAATCTTTAAGGTCATTTTCCACCAAAGACAGTTGTGGCTTTCCACCTTATCAGGTCATTATTAATGATAAGCAATTAATCAAACGTATTCCATGACAAGAACACGAGAGGAGGCAAAAGCAAAGACATATTTGTGTGGTGTACTCACTGTGTAAGTTTGGCTGTGGTGAGATTGAGTGCATCGAGGTGCATCTGGGCCAATCTTAGACCAGGGAAAGTTAGAAATGCTCCAATCAGGGAGCAGAGCAGAGCTAGGATCAGCTTGAAGGTGAGTTTAGATATGGGACCCCTGTGTAAAAAAACAAAATAAAAAAACACATGGTGATTCTGCTGTAGTTTCACGAGTCATAAAGAATTCATGAAGGTGGAGAAAACAAAAAAGATACAGCGAGAATACTGATATTATACTTACTGGGACTCTAAACCCTGGTTCTCCAGAAACTGTAGAGCGCTGTCAGAGAAGTTTGCAAAACCTGGATGTGAAAAAAATAAAATATGTTCAGCAGTGACTCACACCGGGGGTAAAAGTAATAACATTTGGTTTTTAGCAACAGGGTCATTTTTAAGACAAGCCTGGTGGAGCACTCACCGGTCTCAAGACCAAACTCCAGGTAGTTTTCAGTGACGATGAGAATGGCCATGGCTTTGACAAAAAAGAAAAAACCAAAAGTAATACAGAGTGAGCGCTCGCCTCCTTCCTCGAGCTTGAAGTAGTGGGCCGTTAGAGAGAAAAGGGTCTTACTGAGGGGACAGAGTCAAGGGAAACCATCACCAAAAGCACACTGGCATTTAAAGCAAAACTAAAGAGCTTTGCAGATACATTTCTAAATTCTTTTTACAGGTTCAAGGGGAAACAGAATACGTCTTTGCAATCAACCATAACAAAAAAAAATTCAGAACACAGTAACTCATACATAGATATTGCCGAAACAAAACTTAACTGCTCCACGTGAACCCTCAACTCTTTCTTGCCACACAGGCCCTGCAACACACACAGCATGTGTGAGTACAGAGTGTGTGGGTCTGTGGCACCAGTGCATGCCATCAAGCTCGCAATAGTGTTTTTTACCTGGCCCCCTCTGACACTGATCAGAGACTAAGGACAGAGCATGTTTCTAAAGTGAACTCTGGTCACCGCGGAGATGAAACTCTCAGTTCACGCAACATGTTAGGTGACAGCATGCCAATTTTTCACTCCCTTTCAAGAAAGGTATTCAATCCAATACGGTCTTCTTTCCGTCTCTAACCCATATTCAGTGCTGGGAAGACAGCTGTATAAACACTCACCAGATGAGTTAGAGCCAGCGTGAGGCTGAAACGAGAAATACAGCCACGTTTGAGCTGTCATGGAGTGGCCTACAATTATCATCCAGTCGAGCTGGCCTGTAAACATAGGCCAAGCGTGAGGGTATCCAGTCTTTTTTATAATATTTCACTAAACAAGAGGGAGACTCCACCGGTTTTATCAGTGGACAGGTTAACAGAGCAGTGGAGCTGATCTCCAGGCCAAGAGTCTTAAACATGTCATCAGAGCTGAAATAGGAAAACTGAAATCAAGTGTCCCATTAACACATATATTGCACCAACATATTCCCTCATCTTCATACTCCAGTGTCATCTGTTCCCATGTCTGCCCCCCAAGCATATCAGCCTGTTGGGCTGTGAAAATTGGGCCTCCAATCTCGGATGTAGGCAGGAAATGACACGTAGTGAGCTGGGCCCGAGCGGGAGCACTGGGAAGATTGATCCCTGTGGTTGGTGGCAAGGATAATGCATATTATTTAACCATCATTCAGCGTAACAAAATAGCAGGTAGCTGTGGAGCATAAAGGTGCTGGCAGTCAAAGCTTTAGCAGTCATTTCACAGCCTCTCACCACCACTGCTGCAACCACACAATCACGCTGGAATGATGCGGCCTCTCTTATAGACAATGAGATGTTAACCTATGGTATATACAGGGGCGGATAGGAAGAATGTAAAGTGAAAATAATTGAAAGCCCGAAGGAGAGTCCATAATACATAGGTTTGTGGAGCTGAAACATTGCAAGATACCAACCAACCAATCCACAGACATGATGCACAGCATAAATACATTCTTAATTTATTAGCTTTTACAACATGCTGATGAGATTTGACAGCTTGATAAGAAAAAAACTAAAACAAACCAAGCTGTAAAGAGTAACTGATGTAAGGATACATGACGAAGGCAAGTACGAGCAGGCACCAGACCACACTGATGTTCATCTCTCCTGAGGGCTGAGCCACACTGTAGTAGAGTTCTGTTATCAGATAGACCACAGTTGCCGCTACGGTGAAATCCACCAGCCACTGGAACTCTGGGAAGTAGTGCAATGCTGGGGGCATACACAGAGTATAATTAAATCCATACAGCCCAGTATACATGAACATTAAACATGTGAGAACGAAAAATTGGGATTGAAGATGTTTGTCCTTCATACCTAATGTGTCGACTTCTGTGATGCATTTCGTCTCCAGCTGTAAGTCAATGTCCTTTGGAACTGTTAGCGGCTTATTGTCGATGTGACCATTGTACTTCCTAAGGAAAAGAGGTGAAAACAACAAGTGGGGTCAGGAAAACAATGAATGCAGCAAATGCCATGTTTGACCATTAGCATTTTGTAACTATGTAGAAGAACAGCTTAATGTTGTAGTCTTGCAGACATTTGTTTAGGTTTGTTTGGCATCTTGTCTTTCATGCAAATAAAAATAAAAATAATAATAAGGTCAATTAACACATTTTTACAGTTTCTTTTTTTTAGCATTAGTAAAAGTTAACCTCACAGGTTCACATTGAGAACTTTATAAATTACATGTTTAATGATACTACTGACAATTTAAGGAAGATCGTATCTTCATCATAGTTAATCCATCACAGATAATATATGATCCAATATTAATAGTCAAATTTAGGTTATTGCAAAGTTGTTAGCATACAGGGTACCCTCTATATTCAATACTTGGCATAGTTCTATTCTTTTTTTTTGCCACTAATACTTCTAGACTTCCATGACCGAGCGCACAGCAGGTGAATGGATAGCTGCTCTTTAGGTCTGAAGGACTGTCTGGTGGGCCTCCTCAGTTCTGGGCTTTGTTTGTTCAGCCTGGTGTGTGTCTGTGTGTGTGCTCGATTCACAGGACAATACCACTGAAAGACTTTCGGGCCAAACATGCCCCGGACAGATTTCATCTCTGAGGCACCTGACGGGGGGAGAAAGGGGGCTCAGCAGCTCAGGCACCCCTCACTGAGGGAGTCAGATGGTTGACAAAGGGAACGGAGCGGCATGGCACGAGCTGGCAAAAGGACAGTGGTCCATCTTTTCCTTCATGGGATTACTGAGCATGTGGTGCTGGAGAGCATTGACCTGCCTCATACAGGGTCAGAGAAAGGACTGTGCTACAAAACAGCCTTGAGTAAGGAGCTGGACACCATGTGGAACAGTAAGGATTAGCATTCAGTTGTGAGTTCAATTTGAATTCACATTAAGAGGGAGAGCACAAAGGAAACGGCGCTAAATTCACATTTTCAACATATGGTTCAACGTCCACCTGCAGTCATACTGACGGAATAGTAGTTTTTTTTCCCCTTTAATTGCAAAGTGGTCTTAAAGGAAAATCATCCCCCACAATCAAAGCTTGACATCTGACCACTTTGAAGATATAATGCTGTTTGGGAAACTTTGATTTCGTGGTGAATGCAATCCTTTTAAACTGTCATCCCTTAAAATAGCCTCGATAGTAATGGCTCCAAAAATCAGGACCAAATATCCTCACATCCACAAGACGGGGGCCACTTCTAAGCCAAGCTGCTCTGAGCCCAGATGAAGAGTCCATAAAGGAACAAAACAACAAAAATAGACTTCTGTCTCCTCACTTCAAACATGCCGTAAATGAGCCACACAAACACACATCAGCGTCATCTTCCTGCCGACATGTCTGTGGTCTCCATCCATCTCAAACGTCTGCGTCTCATCTTTGCTTTCCTCTCTGATGAAAGGGGTGCCTTTCGTACCTGCTCTGTGCCACTGCATTTCCCCAGCCCCCAAACAATAGCCCTTCTTCATTTCATTTCTGCAACCCCCCTCAAGCGCCTCACAACCTACCTGTCTTTCCTCTTCTGTCCTTTTTGTTTCCCTGCTAAGCTCCTCAACTCATCTTCCGTGGGGTGCTGATACCACCGCAGACTGTGAACAAAGAAAATTAAAGAGATCAGGCTCAGACTTGTACAGAGAAGGAAAAAAAACATATAATATAATTAAAGTCTAAGTTTTGGGGTTAGGAAAAAAAACAAACAGACTAAAGTTAGATTTCCTGTCCAGCTATATAGTTATTGACACATACTGAATAAGATAATTAATAATATTGAATTTTGACAAAGAGAAGGAAGGGGATTCAAGGTTGGATATAATGTGTAATTAATACTGTAAAGTCACCCTCTCTTCACTTCCATTTCTTGTAGGAATAAGGGAATTTCACTTACTGTTAAAAGCTTAAATTGCCTTTTCATTATACCTTAAAGAAATATCCAAAATCTCTTTGAAAAATCTCATGAAAGCATTGACATTAAGTCAAAGCCTCATTTTGTAACAGCTCTGAGATTTATGAGTAACTCCCCAATAACAAACACAAAACAGACATTTATGAGACGCTTTACGACATCAGTCCTCAAGGATCAAGCTTGAAATAGGAGGAAATTTAGGAGCATTCTTTACAAAACAAACCCCCTCAACTTTTTTTGTCAGAGCATCCTGAGAAGCACACTGTGTGGTGGAGGAGGATAGAAAGAGCACAGCTTGTTTTCCCCCTGTATATTTATTTATTATGGAAAATTAATTACAAAGTATTCTGGAGGGACACTTCAGGCCTACTGCTTATGGCGAAAAAGTTTTCAAAAAATGTTTTAGCAGTGCCCTGAAAAGAAAAATTAATGAATTATTAAACGTGTTCCAAAAATCTGTTTACTGAAAAACACATGTGACACTAATTAGAGGAAATGAGGCGGGCACTTTATTTTTCTGTACCGTTCTCTCGGGTCATCCCCATATTTCAGTGCCCTTTGGTCTTTGCAGTGTGATTTAATGATTCTTTTTCTTCTTCAATCCGAACTCTGTGGAACACTTGCCATCTGAGTAAACATTTTGATCCCCATTGTTCTGGACTCGTTTTGAAATAAACTTCTCAGAAGGCAAAGGAAATTGGAGAAATGAAACAACAGCACTTGGAAAAACTATTTGAAACAGCATGTATGGGATTTTACATTACCTGCCACTGCAGAGAAGCCATCTTGCGAAGGAATAATGAGGTATTATTTTTTGAATTACACTGGCCATTACCATGGTAACCACCAGCTGCACACCGATCACACCCTGTGGAAATGAGGTGGGGGTTTAAAATCACATTTAAACAGTAATTATACATGCCACAAAGCACTTACACACATGAAGTATGGGTTTATATGGACTAATACATACTGGAGCATGTCTTCTCAGATTAAAAAGAGTTTAAAATGCAATTTGAAGTCTTTTATCAATCTCATTTCAAAAGTCTTGGCATCACATCTCAACTGCAAAATGCTCATAGAGTGAATGCAGTTCCTTATGTTGCTGATAGCGTGACATTTTTTAAATTATTTTTTTTAAAAGGGACCACAGATGTTTTACCAACAAACAAGTTTGCAGCACAGAGAGATTAATTATTACTATAAGACTTTGTTTAAGTGACACTGCCTCTAATGTTTCGCAGGACAATTAAATTCCTTGGCAGTATAATGAAGGGTGAAATGATAGATTTGGTTATAATAGTGCTTCTTTGCCCTGCTAGGTCAAGTGACTGATTTAAAAGCACCAACAAATTACAGGCTGGATGGTTTCAATCAGATTTACTTTGTAAATAATACTGTACAAGTTGTGGAAAGATTAGGCTCCAAGTACTTTATCATGGCCAAGAACTCAAACACAGAATGACCTTCATTTCTCCATGAATAAAGGGGAGTACAACACAGGGGTTAATCGCGTTAGTGTTAGCCGGTCAAACAACACACAAAAATGTAGATGTGCCACATTCCTCAAAAAACAAATGATCTAAAGCTGCTGTGTGTATAATATGAAGTCTTTTGAAGTAGAACCAAAAAGAAAACTTAAATACTGAAGCGTCAGCAGTCTTCCAGGTCACCTCCATTAACATTCTGACATCCATTTCCAAGTTCCTTAAAATTACTCTGTCTTTTATTCATGTTGCTATGATGACTGTCAATCATATGAGCCAGATGGCCGGTACCAGATGACCCCCAACAACTCTCATGTGGCATCACTGTACACAACATGGTGCCTGGGATTCCCCACCGCAGAGTATGAGATACCTCTGGTGAAAAAAATTTCAAGTCAATTTGCAGCAAGCAGTAGACCTAGTGTTGGCCGACATGTCGATCTAAACCTTGAGGTGACTGAGCTTTGGCAACCATGGAAAAGTATTCTATAATCTGACAACCACATAGTCACACCATTAATATATCTAGTTATATTAGATCATGATTGTTGTAAGTCAATGAGTACGACTGTTTTATGGAAGAAACAGATTAACAGTATTTTGGCAATTAATTGACCAGATTAGCAACAAATTGGCATTGATATTTGGTTATTTTCTCTATGCACTGATTCTCAATTTCCAGAAAATGTAAAATATCATGGTACAGTATGCTTGATTCAAGTTCAATTCACTTAAAGAGAGATGGACGATTAGTATCATCCACCAACAACTAAGACCCGAATTTGAAAACACAATAAATTACCACATTTACCTTGATACAGGACATGTAATGGTGGCTATTTTTAAACACATCAGCTTTTCCACATCAAACTGTGATGGATTTAGTTAATAAATTATTGTAATCTAAATACATTTATTTGGGTATTTACAATGATCACTGAACTACGCTTGGCCAGGAAACGGTCACAATGTCAGCCGCCACATGCCCAGGAGAATGAACAACTAGCACCTGCCACAGGAGGTAGATATCCAAAGACTTAGTAACACAAGGGGCTCAACATCAACCCAGCACTTTTAGATCAATATTCACTTAGGCTTATGAGGCCAAAATCATTCCCGTCATGCTGCGCTTTTATCCACTCGCTGTAGGGTAAGGTCTGCAGGTTGGCCCATCTCTTTGGCTATCAGTAGGAATTATTGATATCTGTGCCTGCACCCACTTGAGCCAAGAGAACCAATTAGCTAACTAATCTCCCATAAAAAATGATTTTTTCTCTTTGCCATCATGTCGGGGCTTGCACCTATAGGCATGCGCAGTGAATCTCCACTTAAAAGCTCATCACATAAATAGCAAAAAGTCATGTGGCCTTCTTTGTTTTGTCAACATGATGTTTACACAACAATAATATTAGGCTAAACAGAACTCCCTGCCCCAACTCCTCTAAATAAAGCAAAACATTCACGGCGTATGCGAGCGCAAATGTCTTTTTCCCTGGACACGTGACTGTTTTCATATCTCACCAGCATTGTTACGCATAAGCCTGTCACATTGGTCGCGCTTGAGTGATGGTAATGTGACTGTGCCACGTGACACAAAAAACATTCATTAAGATAGAAAAGTCTACAATATTTGTCGCTGATGCGTGATGAATAATTCTTTATTTCCCAGAAGACTGTAATTTTTGTGGTAATTGAAATATTACCAATTTCACTTCATCTAATGTGTTATTTGGTGGTAAATGTGAGACTCATTAGTCCTTTTATTTTAAATGAGGACTTGATCTCTTCAAAAAGTAAGTTACTGACTCTTGTGTCAGTTGGGTCACTCTCGTATCCACCAGGCACCCGGTCTATTTTGGCTATCATGAACCATACTCTATATGCCCGTTAGTTACTGCTGATGATGTTGATAACACTACTTAACATGGCCGGCTTGTTCACTGACACTATATTTTACAAGAAACTATACTTTTGGCGACACAATGGCTAGTTGAATTTGCTAGTGTAACCTTGTCCTGCTTCTACCCTAATGCTGGACAATAAGCAAATATTCATCATACAGAACAACTCTGTCACTGATACTGTTAGACTGTACCAGGTGTAGAAGGAGGAAGTGAATGAAGTCTAGACAAGAGAAGTGATGAGGCCAGACTTGTACAGTAGACCTAGATTTTAGATTGGTTGTGGAGATCTCCAGTGTCACCAGGCATGAGGTAAGCTCCAAAAGCTTAAGTCAATACCTCCTCTGGAGTCCCAGGAGGGGAGAGTGGGTGCCTATAATTTGACAATTATAGTGACCAGACACAACCTCTCTGACTCAAGATATTTCTCCATGTGAGTAATGGTCATGCTATATAGGTCAAAAGCAGAAAGCCTTAGCTTGGTGGATGCTGACCATTCGCTGTGGGGGAGCTGCAAGGATCTCAGGCCTGGGGGAAATTGAGCCAGCATGGGACTCTCTTATCTCGCCCATGCCGCTTCACCCCCTCCACACAACAACCAAATGAAATCTGTAGGGGGTTGGAAGTGGGAGCTGCAGTGATAACCACCATATCAATATAAGCTCAAATACCTCACAACTATTTGCTAGGAAAACTAACTCTCTTGAAGTGAAACCCCTTATTGACCGAGACTTCCTCAATTTTATTCATCTTGACTACTCTTGGGTCAGTTTAATCCTGCTTTGGCTCTAAACTCTTAAAATATTGACTGTTGGAAGTCCGAGACCTCAAATTGTAAATATTACTAATGCTGTGGTTACAGATGAGTCACACTATACATTAAAAAAGGCCTTATAACTATGATAAAATAGTTTGATAACCAACTAGATGGTATCCAGGATGTTTTTCCATTCTGAGTGACTTCCCTCTACCTTGATATTACAGTATGGTGGCATTACACTGAAATGGAAATAGCCATATCTAATCTCATTGTTCAACTTTATTATTTTGAAGAATGAATAACTACCTGTTTGGCAATCATTTACACGTTTTTGAAATTCTCTCAGTACTGTCCTTTCCTACAGTAGCTGCTGCAACATATGATAACATTCGGCAGTGGAGAATAATAAATATCAACTAATCTAATATTTATAATATAAATACAACACACAGACACCTACCCATCTAAAGATTGATACTAACAAATCTGCTCGAGTAAGTTTCTGATTCTAAACATCATTTTGAGATTAGTACACTGTCGTGGATGCAATTACAGCAGCAAGTATCAGTCTATGACCACAACTGTAATTACAAACCTGCAGTAAACATCTATGTCTTTCCCTCAATACATTAACTCTATAGATGCTCGTGAAATCAGGAATACATTGTCATGACACTGAATAAGGTTTACAGTTCCTCTGAGGGCATCTTAAGGTCAAACTGAGGCAGGTGAGGTGCGTGAACACAACTTGCCTTCTCCCATAGGTGCCCTGCTGCCAGGTGACTGGCATGCTAACAGCTAATGCTGGCACAGTTCATGCATATATATGACTTACCTTCCACTTCTACCCTACAAGATTAGCCCCCGTTAGCACTCCTAAACGACATATGCGACCGAAACCATTGGAAAACAACACATTTATATGCTGTTAGCATCACCAGACTGCAGTTGGTGTGGAGGCTTACGCTAGCTCTAATGCTACACTGACTAGCCGGCTACATGCACCTGTTATGGCTAGCAAGCTAAACCAGCGTTAACACAATGACACATTCACTGAAAACGTAGAGCTGTCAGAAACATCGCAGAGGGACATCTCAGCTAGAGAGGATGCGGAATCAAGGCATGAAGAGACAGCGTTGCGTTCAGGTGCTGTGTGACACACTCACCATGTTGATGCAGTGAAACGGACTCTACCCCGACAACACTGAGCAGCCCGAGTCTGAAATGAGGCGGCGAGGAGCACATAAGCCCTTCGTGCGATGGTTGTGCACAGAATGAAGCGGGTTTCTCATTCAAACTGTCTTCGTATCATCACAGACAAGGGTTACATCGTCAATTTACAAGAAAAAATCAATGGACTCAGCCTCCGCTCCTCAGTATTTTCAACTGCAATAGAGGTCACGCTGAAGCTCTGGGTAAGAAGGTGTCTTCGGATTTGCCTGCACGGCTAGAGATACATATGACGATTTAAAAAATACATATTGTAGTATATCGATATTTAAACATAGTCATACACTATTATCAATGCATATATACTTCCAATAATTTTGAATAGTACTTGAAAATTACACTGGCTTTCGTATTTTGGGACAGGATTACCACTAGTCTGCATTAGGACCCCGTTAACCGGAAGAGAGCAGAGAGTCACTTCTACACATGACCGATCAGATGAGAGACATTGGACACAGCGCAGAGCTGCTGCAGACATCACAGGGCCACAGCTTCCTCTGTATCGATCAGTCTATCGATGTGTGATTATTGACAACATACATGTTTATGTGTGACTGTATGAGTTTGCAAAACAAACACTGTCTCTTAGCGTTGTGGCATTATCAAGAAATACAGAGCTATTAACCACCTTCATTAAATCTTATCATATATCTGATCATATGATATAGCTATATATACTTATGTTATCATAAGGTATGTCAGTAGAAAAGTCTACCAGCAATGTAATCACACCTAACTCAAATAAAACCTTTTTGAGAGATTCAAATGCATCTTAAGTTCACTAAACCTGTGGTCACAGATGTTCCCTGTAGTGACTGAAGTTATTCAATGATCTTAAGTGCCTCAAGGTTTTATTCTATTGTCATTTTATTTACATTTAACATAAAACTCTACTCTATGTACATACACCCCACTGTCATGATTGATAGTGATGTTTATGATAAAGAGAGGCTTTGTTTAAGTAATACTCAGTGACTCCATTTAATCTAAATTGTGTTTTGTGTCCAGATTGCAACTAACAATTAGTGTAACCCGATTATCTTTACACCTGGTATAAACATGTCTGTAGTGTCCACATAGAAACCCTGTTGAGATCTGATGGCTGTGTCAAGCTCACGTTACACCCTCCTCTCCTTTGCGCATTTCAATGAAAACAACAAATACGGTTTGGAACAAGAAGAATAGAATGATGTGGAAGTTATTCACAAAGCTGCATTATGGTGTTTGCTTGCTCTTTGATTGGTCTCATCATCACTTCATTGACAGGTTACGACTGAGAAGATGACTCCTTGTGTGTTGACTGGCAAATGGCTGTCAGGAGTGGCTTGTTTTTCATTTTTGTCATTTTTCTCCTCTTTCTTTAAAAGAAGTGTCTTAAAATGTAAATGAAATCTAAAATTCAGATACATTGACATGAGCCAACCATAACTGTATCAACCACAATT